GCGTCGTGTTGGGGAGCAGCGATCTCTGCCTGAAGCCCTGGAAAACTGCTGCCAATCAGTCTAGACAATACTGAGCTTAGTGGGCCAGTGGTCTGATCTGGTATAAGGCAGCTTCATATGTTGGCTGTGGTCTATTCAGGGGTCATTTCCTGCGGGAGCGCACAGGAGCGGAGCTCCGGCAGTAAGGAGCCCAGGGGGCGGGCACATGCAACAAGCCCCGCCCCCTGCTCCCAGCAGCCCTCAGTTGGGCCAAGAATCAGTCAGGTAAGTCGCAGAGGGCCCCCCCCCCTTCAAGTACAAACTCTCCCTCCTCTGTGAGGGCAGATCTGCACGTCCCCCCCCCAATAGCTAGCAATCCACAACAATCCAGTGGAGCCTGAGTAGTGGTTGTTGCCTTCTGACACACTTCTGGTGATGTCGGGGTGTGTGGCATATGCAAATAAGTTATGCTGATAAGTTATGCTAATGAGCTCCTGCACCTCTTTTTCTAGGACATTACCCCTGGGTCTATTAATATCTCTAGGGTTGCCAGTTGGAGACTGAGGGGGATGAAGACCTGTGGTTGGCCACTGGCAATGGTGTAATACCACATCAAGGGGGGAAACCCTCTAGGAATTGCCAGAAATGCTAACCTTCCTCTCTAGGAATTGCTGGAGACTCTGCAAAGTTTAGTAAAACCATCTAGTTTTACCATAGTGTTTCTGGTGATTCCTAGAGAGTTGCAATGTGACTTCTAGGTTTTTCATTTCTAAACAGAGCACGGGCAGGAAATGAAAGGCAGGGTGGGGAACCTCCCACTAGGGGACTGGCAACTCCACAAAATCTCACATACAACCACAGGTGCCTTGTTTCCTTACCAGCAAAGGACCAGGTCCCCCGAAGCAAAAGAAGCATTATACCTTTTCCATTTGAGTCCACTTGTCCAGAACATCGCTTGCAAAATTGAAATATTCAGGCACTTCCTGTTCACCCCGGTTTATAGCTTCATAGTATGAGGTAATTGGAAAGGTAATGCATCTCTTGGCTTGGTGGTGGAGGAAAAAGCAAGGTGACGGCAGCCTCCTGAAGAATTTTAAGAGCGTCTTCATGGCTCGTAAGACAGCTTGAACACTTTGATCAGCTTTGTTCCTCTGTAACATTTTTTTTTAAAAAAACAGTTATTACCTGGAATGCATCATTACATTATACCTGTTCTGAAGGTTTTGCAGTGGAATCCAAGATTCAGTTTAAAGTTGTGGTTTTGACCTGTAAAACCTTTCATGGCTTGGGGCCCACATATCTGAAGGTTGCTTGAAACACAGCTGCGTGGAGGCCACGTCACATGCCAGGCCTGTAGCCGTGTTGGTACGAAAGGGGGCAACGCTTCATCAGTCATTTCTCATGCCCCTCCAAACAGCACTAGGGGTTGATGTGAAATCTGTCACACATCTTTCAAGGGTAAATTCTCTATGTGAGCCTGCTTCGGCCCTGAGCCTGCTTCAGTGGGGAGGGGGGTATAAATAGAACTAATAAACAAACAAGGAAGGAAGGAAGGAGTTGAGGTTAAAAGGTGTTAATCCTGTCATAAATCTTCCAAGGGTGACTTCTCTATGTAATGGGCTAGAACAGAATCAGCAGTTAGCAGGGCTGAAGAGTCCTGACTTAAAAAGCCTGTGGGGGGGGGGGATGTTGGAGTAAAGCAGAGAGAGACAGAGAGATTAAGCCATGAAGGGGTAACAGTGGTGTTGTAGCCCTGATCTGGATAGCCCACAAAAGCCACATCTTGCCAGATCTCAGAAGCTAGGCAGAGTCGACTCTGGCAAGTACTTGGATGGGAGACCTCCTTGGAATACCAACAGTCAGGAGGTGGGGGCAGGCTTTATTCAGCCACCTCTCTGAATATCCTCCAAGCCCCCAGTAGGGTCAGGGTTTTCTTTTGTACTTCAGTTCGTGGTTCGTGGCTGAACCACGAACCTATATGAACCAGGAGGTTGGTTCACAAAGTGAACCGGTTTGTATGGGTTCATGCCTCTTGCTTTCCACTCCCCGCCACTTTTCACGGAGAGCAGAAATCGGGTTAAAATAACTCCCAGCCATTTAAACCAAACAGCTGAGTGGTGTTGTTTGGTTTAAATGGCTCAAAGCTGAACCCCCAAAAGCCCCTTTAAACAGCTGAGCCATGCAGAGCAGTTTGCTCTCTACCCCAGGGGCTGGCTGCCTGCTGAAGAAAGCCCCTTTAGGCAGCTAAGCCACGGGAGCGGGCTGCCCCCATGGCTCATCTGTTTCCGATCTAATCAGCTGAGTGGGGAGGAGAAAGCAGGGGTTTGCTCCCCACAAACCTCCATGAACTGCCTTAAAAGTTCATGGAGGTTCTTGGTCGGGCTGCAGCTCTATGCGAACCACAAACTGCCTGCGTATACAGGCAAGGCGGGATACAAATAGAAATAAATAAATAAATTCATCATGAACAAAGGTTCGTGAGCCAGTTCATGCCCTTCCCTAGTTGTAGCAGAGCAAAACAAAGAAAAAGAGAGAGAACAGGTTCCACAATAATCCTGTAAAACTCTTATTGCTGGGGAAATTATTTTGGACAGAAGACTAATTAATAATAAGGGATTTAGGCCCAGTGGTAAGTGAGCACAAATCTTCTTTTGGTAATACATGTCACCCCACAGGAATCTTATTCACCCTATGTTTGTTCACTGAGAAAACAATGCTACTCACAGCTGGCCCTGATCCAGTGCATTTTTATTTATTTTATTTAATTTCTACCTTTCTCACTGAGACTATAAATGGGTTTCACGGTGTAAGTCAATGCAATCAAGCAGATGAGACATCTAATAAAAATTCAATAAAACTAGGTTTGCAGTAATTTGAAACAGAACCCCCAAAAAGTATACATTGTATGTGAAACAATGCAGGAAATGGTATTACAAAGGTAATAATATACCTGTTCCTTTTATAAAAGCTCAATTCCATTATCCTATAGCTCTGTGATGCTCTGTATTCCTGGTGCTTGGGGAGGGGCAAGAGTGGGAGGGCTTCTAGTGTCCTGGCCCCACTGGTAGACCTCCTGATGGCACCTGGTATTTTTGGCCACTGTGTGACAGAGTGTTGGATTGGATGGACCATTGGCCTGATCCAACATTGGCTTCTCATATGTTCTTAAAATCCCCTCTTGAAGCATTCCATGTTACACAGTTGGCAAAATGACAAAAGTGTGGGAGCTGTCCTGACTTCCTCAGAAAGGCCATTCCACAAACGGGAGCCACAACAGAAAATGCATGCGCATGGGCAGTTGCTGATCCTTCCCATTTGTTGGGTAGCACCCTTAGAAGCCTTGAGCTAGTGATTTACAGAGAAAAGAAGGTTGTGTTTGCAGTTTCAGGTTTCAGTAACCGGGAAGAAAGACTCCCACACGTCCTTAATTCTGCACAATATATAAAACATTTGCTTGGGAGGGCCTTTTTAAAAAGCTAATACAGAACAGGACTGTTGTCTGTGCTGCAGTGTACACTATATATTATTGATTTGTTGTATGTTTTATCATGCTCTTACAGCATTGTTTTCATTTTTTGTAATTCCATTTTCTGCACTGCTTGACGTAGCATGTCTGATGCTTGTTTGCACTTTTCTAATTTTTGTAATCCTAGTCCTATTGCATTGCTTATTAGTTCTTTCGTGCTATTCCATCACATTGTTCTATACCATGTAATCCACCTTAAATTCTCAAGTGGAAAATTGGTAAATAAGTAATAAAGTATAAATAAATAAATAGCAATGGACTGACCACCAGTGTACTCTTTTGCCCCTCCCCAATAAAAATGTTCTGGCTATGAGCCTGCCCAAGAACCCTTTTGTGGAGATAATTTTATTAATTTGGTGCATTTTTTTATACCACTGTGCCTCCAATGAATTCAAGAGTGGTGAACATGCATCTGCCCTCCTCTGTTATATCCTCAAAAGGACCCCTAGGAGGGAGGCTGAGAGGAGGTGGCCCAGTGGGTGCGTTCAGACGGGGCGTTTCTGTCGGCATAAACTGCACCAGTTGGAACTGGTGCAGTTTATCCTGGCAGAAACGCGATCACACTTACCTCCATCTTCCAGATCCCTTCGGTGGACGCCCGCTCACACGCTGCGGGCGTCTGCGTTTTTTTTAAAGCACAGTTTGAGCATGCGCATAGGCAGCCATTCACAGAATGGCGATTTTTGTGCATGCTCAACCCCCCCATTACATTTAAACTTTAAAGGTAAGGATTTACCTTTAAAGTTTAAAGCCCAACCTGGCCTCCCTGTAGTCCCGGAGTCCTCCGGGAAGTTAAACTAAGGGCTTTTTTTCTTTCTTAACAAACGTTCGGGGCGAAGCTTCGCCCGAGCGCATATCGCTTACTTTAAAAAAAAAATGGCGAGGGAAAGCCGGAAGCCTGGGCCGCACGGGTAGGGCGGGATATAAATCCCAAAATAAATAAATAAATATAAATAATAAATAAGTGTCTCTGCAACGTTGGAGAGCGATCAGACGCCGGGGTGCACCGTTTACAACCGTTGCACTCAGTTTACCACCACTTGGGACCTAGTGGCAGAGTGCAACGGTGTAAAGGGCTTTACACCGGTTAGGGACAGGAGGCAGATGTTCGTCGTGTGAACGCCGGTGAGTACACCGGTTGCAACCGGAACCCTAACCGATGTAAAGCCCCCGTCTGAACGCACCCAGTGAGTTTCATGGCAAATGTGGATTTGAACCTGGGTCTTCCCAGTCCAAGTGCAACCTTCTAACCACCACACCACAGGTTCTTCATGTTTGTTTCCAGGCTGTTTTCAGGCCCCTGGTAGGTTCTTGGCTAGTTTTCACTGCTTGTTTTAATATCGATGCAGTTTGGCATTGTTTTTACTTTGCGAGCAACCCCAAGCAGGTGTCTAGAGGGGCAGCACACAGGATTTCAAAGTGAGTGAGTAATGAAGGGAAGTGAACAAAACCGGGAACATCCGCTCATCTCTGGTATCTGCATGCGCTGTTTTTCAGCAGCACACTAGAGGGCAAGCCGTCACACCGAATCTCTTGGACACACACTCTGGTTCAGTTTTGCTGTGTTTGCCCGTGAAGACAGTTTTCCAGGCTTTTCCCTAGAAGGTTTGTGAGAGGAAGGGAGGAGGGGGGAGTGAGGGGGGGCCCATCCTGTGTGTCTGAGATCAGCCGTGCCATACTGGAAAAAAGGACTGGAAGCATGGATTACTCCTAGCATTAATATTTTTGCACGCTTGAAAAAATATGTTTTATTTGGTATGGTTCAGAGTGTTAGACAAGCTCCACCCATCCCGGCACTCAGGAAACTGTAAATCTCAACTTTTTCAGGGAGCGTTTGAGGCCAGCTGAGCTGTTCTGATGGGGAAGGCAAGCAAAGTTTGGGTGCTGGCCAATGCTCCCTCTAAGCTGTGGAGTCTTGTGAGCAAAAATTCTACTTTGTGAGCTCCTGGCATTAAAGTTGTGAGCGAGCGATTTGGGCTGCTGCATAAACTAGTTTGCTCTGGAGCCCTCCTTCCTGAGCTACGACAGAAATGTGTGAGCTGGAGGCTAAAAAACTGTGAGCTAGCTCACACTAACTCAGCTTAGCGGGAACACTGGTGCTGGCTGAATTGCATATTCTGACAAAGACCACCCTTGCATGCTTTCCCCCCCCCCCGCCCCACCCCCTGGCCTTTTTCTTTAAGTCCTTGAGTTTAACCAGAAGCATTTCTTCACGAGCCTGTGCATTTACTGATAAAAGCCTCTCGGCAAAGGATTTACCTTCAAGAGGTGGGAAAGGGAAAACACGAACTCCGAACAAACGACCTCGTTGGCCTTGCCGTACACTTGGGTAGGATTAAGCTGGTGGCCCGATCACTGGAGAGGAGCCCTCTTTGGTTTGCTCAGATGTGCAGGCCTGACAGTACAGAAACACCAGCAAGATCACAGTTGCTTCTTCCTTTTGACTTCTAGTTCCAGGAAATCCCTGCCGCCTGCAGGAGCAGGCAGATATCAAGTGACCTCAGCCTATGAGAGGCTGGGGAATCAGGGGTGGGGTTGAGGGGTGGGGAGTTCAGTGAAGGAAACGTCTTGCCGTGGCCTCAGATTGCTGGCAGACGGTGTGGCGCCGGATAGGGCTTGGGGAAGCTACATAGAAACAGGGGGAAACTACGAGGAGAATAACAACGTTTGAGTCCAGTGGCGGCACCTTTAAGACCAACAAAGTTTTATTCCTGGTATAAGCTTTCGTGTGCACACATGCGCGAAGGCTTATACCAGGATTAAGACTTATTATTATTATGCCCCACCTGTACCAGGAGAACAGTCAGGTAGTTCGGTTTTGGCCAGTGAAGGGAAAAAAACCTCAGACATGATACATAGGACTCAGGGGCCAGTAAAGAGGCCGGAATCGAGTACGTATCCCGTGTTACCTTATGGAAATGGTAGCTCCGTTAGGGACTCGTGAGGCTACTGAGGGAAATAATCCCCCGAGACAAGCTAACCCTGTTTCAATAGACCGAGGGTGATTTCCCACAAGCACTGCTCTGTGCTCACTCTTCTCTTTGGCCCGTGTCAGTTTCACACAAGCTGCTGCGCGACCACATTTTGCCCCGCAGCTTCGTGCGATTTTACCCGCGTCTACTCAATCCTGTTTTTTTGAGGATTGAGTAGATGCGGGGGAAATCACACGAAGCTGCCGGGCAAAATGCGGCAGCACAGCAGCTTGTGTGAAATTGACACATACCATTGGGGCAAAAGGGAGGAGTGAGTGCGGAGCAGCGCTTGTGGGAAATCTTTCTGAGATTCTTTGGTTCAAGGAGGCGCTCCAAAAGAAAACATTTTCTCTTTCTTTCTGGCAGGATGTGTGTGTGAAATTGTAACTGTTTTAAAGCAGAGCTTTGCTGTCCCTTGCTGTGAATAACCAATGCTTTTGTTGCATTCCTTGTCTTATCCACCAGTGCAGGAAAATAGGAATAGTTGTTTCCTGTGCAATCAGGGAGCCTGATTGGATCCCAGTGCACCTTCGCCACCAGCTTCCAGAACCAATCAAAGCCTTTGTCTGATAGATGGATGTGTTCCGTTCACCTAGGGAAGGGGGCTGTTACCGATGAAAGGCATGTTCTTGGGGCCACGTACTAACATTGCAGCTTCTCTGCCGAAGTGGTTGAAACCCTTTCACTCGAAAAAAAGAACAAACCATTTTATCACACTTTTTGTTGAGAGAAAGCATCACTCAGGACCAATGTTCCCTCTAAGCTGTGGAGTCTTGTGAGCAAAAATTCTACTGGTATTAAAGTTGTGAGTGAGCGATTTGGCTGCTGCATAAACCAGTTTGCTCTGGAGCCCTCCTTCCTGCGCTAAGACCAAAATGTGTGAGCCAGAGGCTAAAAAACTGTAAGCTAGCTCACACTCACTCAGCTTAGAGGGAACACTGCTCAGGACAGTCTTCCCAGTTTACAATCATCTAGCATGCCAGGATATTAGGTGGATTAGTATGTAAATTAAGCCAGACTGATGGCTTTAGTTAACTTTTATTTATTTATTTATTTATTTTTATTTACATTGCATTTATATACCACCCATGACCCCTAATTTACAGTGTACTGCTACTGGTATAGTCGCAGTAGTTAACCTACCTAGGGCCACAGATTTTTAGGGGGGGGGGGACTTCCCTACCGACACCCTTGTTGGCGGCGCGTTCTCTCTTCTTTCCGGCGTCCTCAGCTGACCAGCACCACCTCAGGCGGCTCAATGTTTGTCCTTCGTGTGCGACCGCCCTCCGGCTGCAGCTTCCGGCTTGCGTCCTTCCGGCTCCTGCCGTGCTGCGCCGTCCTGCGTTCGCACCACCGTGGCTCCGCCTTCGTCAGGTCCGGTCAGGAACTCTGCTGCCGCCGCCATTGTTGTTGCCGCTACCGTCTCCGTTGCCGCTGCCAACACTCCTGGCCCGGAACCAGGAGGTAACTTTCTGATGATTGATGCACACCCAAATAATGCTTTAGAAATCATGATGCGTGCCCCCTACCCTTGTGCTGTCTGTACTAGAAGAACCCTGCTGTGAACAACTGCAGTGATGCACATCTCCCCCACCCCCACCCTGCAAATGCTCCCGTGTCTCCCTTCACTAGGCATGGTCCTTGTCCTCTAGCCCCTGAGCCTAGGAAATCAATGCCTCTGTTGTGCCTTGGGGAGAGACATGCCAGGGATGCCATTCCGAAGTGCTGTTAATGTGGATACGCAGGGACCCCATTTCTTCATGTCCAGATTTCAGACTTCCCTGTTATATAGAGGAGCATTCCATTTTGCTGCTCATTAAAAAAAAATCTAGGATGTCAAGGAGAAAGCTAGGTGAGAACCTCACAACCTGACATGCTAATTTTCTATATGCATACATCAAAAAAACAACAACAACTAAGATCATGGCATCCGGCCCCATCACTCCTTGGCAAATAGAAGGGGAAGTCGTGGAAGTAGTGACAGACTTCACGTTCCTGGGATCCCAGATCACCACAGACTGTGACTGCAGCCATGAAATTAAAAGACGCCTGCTCCTTGGGAAGAAAGCGATGGCAAACCTAAACAGCATGATAAAAAGTAGAGACATCACCCTGCCAACAAACGTCCGCATGGTCAAAGCAATGGTATTCCCAGTAGTCATGTATGGTTGCGAGAGTTGGACTCTAAGGAAGGCCGAGCGCCAAAGAATAGATTATTTTGAGCTATGGTGCTGGAGAAGACTCTTGAGACTGCAAGAAGATCAAATCAGTCAATCCTACAAGAAATCAACCCTGACTGTTCCCTGGAAGGCCAGATAATGAACCTGAAGCTCAAATACTTTGGCCACCCAATGAGAAGGGAGCACTCACTGGAGAAGACCCTGATGCTGGGAAAGACTGAAGGTCAAAGAAGACGGGGACGGCAAAGGATGAGATGGTTAGACAGTGTCATAGATGCAACGAACATGAAATTGAGCCAACTTCAGAGGACGGCGGAAGACAGGAGGGCCTGGCGGGAGCTGGTCGATGGGGTTGCGAAGAGTCAGACTCGACTGTGCGACTGAACAACAAATACAAAAAATGCCTTGCTACAGTCATGCAAGCCGTCCTCACAAGCCTGTACCATCACGTGCCGAGTGATCTGTTGCATTTTATCCTGCCCTTCCGCCACGCAGAGCAGAGCAGAGCAGAGCAGCATAAATGTTCCCCCACCCTCCCAGTTTCAGCTTCATAACAATCCTGTTCGGGAGGTTACGTTGAGAGAGAATGACCAGGCTGAGGTCACTCGCTGAGCAGAGACCTTCCCTGCCCTCTTCAGCCCTGCACTGCTTTGGTCCTCTGCCCACCTCCCTTTCCATTGATGACATGCAGGGCTTGGTTGTAGGGAGGCAACACATGCAGAGTCATTGAGAGGGGGCAATGGGGGGGGGACAAAATTCAGGGGGTGCAAGTCAGCTTGAGGGCCTGTGAAGCCAAAGTCATGTTGCATTCAGCAAATGCATTTCAGTTTATGTTACTTTTAATGCAGTTCTGCGCTGCAGCCAGTAGGGACAACGGAGAAGGCAGAAGACAGTAAACAGCGGTAGCTCTGACTACCTGTCGGCTTTGCTTTCCTGCAAAGTTTACTATAAGGAGCTCGAGGCAAACACTTGTCTATTAGGAGATGCTACTAAGCCCGTCAAGGCAACACCATCAAGCATGTCTGAATGGTGAGATCCGGTTCCGGTCCCGACGAGAGAGGTCGCACAGAGAGAGAGCTCTAAGCGTTCTTCTCCTTTCCACTCTTTTCTATAGACTTTAAACAACAAGCAAAGTTCTCTCCCGTAGAGAGAGACCTAGCAAGGAGCTCACCCCCAGGTCTGGGGAGGGTGGCGACTCCCCCCAGTTAATTCTGGGTTCACTCCGAGGCAGGGAAGAATGAGAAGCTGAGAGACGAGAAACCCCCATCAACTTCAGCAACAGCCGAGACCATAGGACCAAAGGAGTCTTCAAGGAAAATTGCCCAACAACAGTGGAAGCTAAGTACCTTTATAATTTATTGTTATTAAGAGCGACAGGTTTAAAAGAAAATAAAGAGCAGAGAGGAGGGGGGGAAACATAAGACTTGCGCAAGGGTAGAAAGGGGCTAGAGTTTAAAAAACAAAAGCGGCTACTAACAGAGCGCACAGAAAGAGAAACGACAACCAATTAAGCGCGAAAAGATTGGAAAATAAAATAAAAACTACATAACTGTTACTTTCTCTCCAGTTAGCAGCATAAGCCGGCCCCTTTAAGACGAGCGAGAGAGAGTTCCAGAGCTCCAGAGTGACGAGGTCTTTTTCTTCAGCATTGGCATCGGCAGCGACGAGGAGGAGTGGAGGTGCGGTGACGTCGTCGAGAGGCGCGGAGAAAGAGGCGGGGCAGAGGAAAGCAGAGGCGGTTTCGGAGGAGGAGCAAGGAGCGGAGGGACGGCCGAACGAGGGAAGAAAGCAGCCAAAGAACGGAAAGACGCTGACGCAGACGCAGAAGGTGTGGAGGGGTGACGCAAAACCCGGAAGTTAAAGAGAAAAATAAGACGCTTTTTTTTTTTGGCATATAAAGACAAGGATAAAGATAACAGCGCACTGAGTTAAAGGACTAGAAACAAACTGTAACGAGGAAGACACGAGCTAGGAGTGAAAAAGGAAAATAAGAGACAATAACGCAAACTAGAATAAAGTGTTATTAAAGTGACATTACATATATATATATATACAACCAATACACACATAAACCCAAACTAAAGTAGAGACCCTTAAAGGCAGAATAACACCCAAGTGTGATTAAAAAGAGAGGGAAGGGTAAAGGCAACCTGCCCAAGAAAACAACAACTTAAAAGTGAAGTAGAGGAAGAATATAGAGGATACTCAAAAAATTAAGAGACATTTAAAAAAAAAAAAAACCTCAACAAACCAAGAGTGAGGCAAAGGAAAAATACAGAGGGCATCTAAATACTAGAAAACATTGAAAGACATTAAAGACAATTAAAAATAACTAAGTGAAACAAATATAGCAATTTACCAAATCTAGTAAAATCTAGTAAATATTGTAAAAAATGGCAACAGGTGCAGGAGGCAATAGAAAAGGGTCCATACCCTCCCCAGGGCAGGCAGGAACCACTTCCCAACTGAAAGCTAATATTTCTCAACAATCAATGAAAGAACTAAAACAATATATACAAGAAAGTTTGGCAGAAATGTTCCATCAGAACATGGAAGTTACCCTACCAAATTTAATTAAGAAAGAGATAGCCCCCATAAGTGATAGAATGGAGGAGATTGCAAACCAAATTAAAACAGAAACGGAGGAGATTAAAAAACAAATGTTTGAAAATAAAAAAGAAATTTCTGAAATCACAAAAACCTCAAATAAGTTAGTAGAAAAAACGCAAATGCTGGATGTGGAAATGCAAGAAATGAAAATTAAAAATGAGAAGCTAGAAGAAACTGTGATAAATTTCGAAATGGAAAGGGCAGGATTTATAATTAGATGCCAGAACATTCCAGAAGAAATAGAAGACAGTCTAAAAGAAGTCATAGCAGGATCCTTTGCAGAACAACTAAACATTGATACAAAAGAGGATATTTACAGAGACATTGAAACTGTGTTTAGGAGAAACTCAGCATACGCCAAAAGATACCAAAAGATGCAATTATGCCAGAATCATGGGAAGATGCCATCATATCATTGATCCACAAGCCGGACACAAACGAAAAAGAGATACAAAATTATAGACCGATTTCTCTACTTAACGCAGATTATAAAATTTTTGCAAGTATTGTTGCAGCGAGATTCAAAAAAGTGCTACAACAAGAGATACATCAAGACCAAGCGGGCTTCCTACCAAAAAGGCAGATGAAAAATAACATAAGAACAGTTATAAATATACTTGAATATTATGAAGAACATCCTGAGAAACAAATGGCGCTAATTTTTTTAGATGCTGAAAAAGCATTTGATAATGTATCATGGGACTTTCTAAAATTAAAATTGAAGACATGGG